TTTTTGCTTCGACGGGTATTATTATTGATTGCGCTTCTTAATGGCTTTTTGATCACGAGGCATATTGTGCAATACAGCACTGAGTCATTATTATTGCAGTATGTCTTTTCTCTCGTAAACAGCTATTGCCTTTACATGAGTGAAAGTACTACTATTTAAACAAGAAATTCATATTTCTCTTTCATTTCTTTTCAGTCGAAAGTACAAATTTATAGCAGCGACAGTATTCAAGCAATAAAATCATTCCCACCATCAAGCGAGAACGACTCTTTTTTTTTACATCCATACCAACGAAAAACAAAATTTGAAGAAAAGTAAATCTTGTCGTTCTTCAACAAAATTATTGCATCACACCATCATAGGAAATCGCTCTTGAAAATACAATTTACTTTGCACTGAACTGCTCAATTGTATTCTTCAATTTTCAGTACAATACTTCTTCACATTCATGGTTACATTATTTTTTCTATTTTTATCACAAGACTTTTTGCATTTAAAACATTTAGATCGATGTGGATATGGGTGTAAAACGGAAAGAAAAACACCCACACATACACTCAGATTTAAATGTAGAAATAAACAATAAACTGTTATCGTTGTCAGCGATGAGTTATGAAAACGACTTTATTTGACAGAAATTTTACAGTTTACAGGTGACATATTAGGATAACAAGACTGAAGGATATACGTGAGATCTACATTTCATTTTGTTTTTTTGGATTTCGCTTTTATTAACACACAGGAAAGATGAAATTTCAATAAAGCGAAGAAATAAGTAGCCTCACAAAAAGTTGATTATAGTGTGGACTACTAGATGCATTGGCTTTCTTGATGACTCAATATTTTGAGAAAATTCGGCTTGAAGTTGACTCTATCAGTTAGAAAAATTTCTATCAATCCTGATGACTTTTTTAATAATCCTAATCATGACCGTTGATGTTAATTTTCTACCATTCTTTCCTGGCTCTCTATCTGATGTTGCTTTATGGCAGAAACCTATCATTACTGGTCATGTGACATTGATTGTGCAGAGCAGAGTTGAAGATAACAAGCACAGGCGAGCATTATCACGAGAACGAAATAATTTGAGATAAAGCTTCAGTTGACAAAAGGCCAGTAACTTTCAAACAGCAATTCATATATAATACACTCGATTATTTATTAAAATAAACTGATCATCAAAAGTTGAAGGGTGAATTTAAGCATAAGTAGGCTGCCAGTATTGTTCAGTTTTTTTCCTTCTCTCTACTACCAAAAATGGTTAATATTCGAAATTTCAACGAGAATGATTGGATTCATCAATAGAGGCAATAGAAAATTGAATAAAACAACATGCGATCGTTATTTTCGTATTGGATATATTAGAGAATAGATCTAATCAGAAAGAACGGTAACAACAAGTATAATAGCACAGACCACTACAAAGAAAATAAACTGAAGTTCTGTGTTTAAAACATAGGGTGTGGGTGTGGGGTGTGGGCGTGGGTGGGTGTGGATGTGGGTGTGGGCGTGAGTATGCTCCTCTACTAACACCAACACCCACTTCCGTATCCACACCCACACCCACACCCACACCCCACATCCACACCCACATCCACCAACACCCCCACCCCACACCCACCCACCCCCCCCCCACACCCACACCCCACACCCACACCCATCTGCTACAACAAAAATAGAAATTGCAGTGTCTCTAACCATGCCGAAACTCCTACAGGCTTAAGACACAGTATTTTGATGGATGAGTGAATAAATTCAATACACGAAAAACAAGATCATCGATACAGACAATCAACAAATATACAGAGAAAGTGAATGTATAGTTAAAAAAGAAACAAAAGTGTTTCTCTAAACGGGAAGTGTTCTGCATGTAATATATGAAAAAGGGTGTTTTTTCGTTATTCACTACGTGTCCTATGGTAATGTCCATCCCCATTTTCTGAACCAATCTTTTTCCGTCCCTGTCAGTGGCCTACCGCTATGTTTCCATGTTCCATTATCCCGTAATGCGGCTCCATCTGTGAAGTGAACATGCGCCCATTGATCAAGTGGATTATTGGGTTGGGCTTGATCAACACGCCTAATTGAGCTTGGTGCTTGTCTCCTTTGAATTTCCATGTTCATTTGATTTACATTGTCGTTTCGCATCTCACTTCAGATTCAAACTATAAAGTTCTAAAAAGAGAGAGAAAGAGACAGAGACATAAGAAAAGGTTACTCCCATCTACGTTTTGGGTGTGAGGGTGTGGGTGGGTTTGTGGGTTTCAGTTACAAAGAGACCACACTCAAATTCACATGCACACCTACACCCTCACACCGACACCCACACACACCCCGAAGATGATGGAATGAGAAGGTCGATAAATTAATTTGTCACTATCCTCGGTAATGATATCTACTAGCTTTT